CAGCGTCCAGGCGGGTTTTGAATGTCTCCAGAGTGGGAGACTCCACCACCTCTCTGGGCAGCCTGTTCCAGTGCTCCCCTACCCTCAAAGTAAAGAAGTTCCTTCTCATGTTAAGATGGAACTTCCTATGTTCAAGTTTATGCCCATTACTCCTCGTCCTATCACTGGGCACCACTGAAAAAAGACTGCTTTAATTTTATATTTTTTGCTCACAATGATTTTTCTTTTTTTAAAAGTCAGAATAAAACCAACTTGTAACAAAATGAGACGACACTGATAAGAGAAAATCTGTAACCAATTTTCCTGGAAGCCTGACCCAATAAAATTTCTAATCCAATATGCACTCCCTGAAGTTATGATTCCATCTAGACTGCACCAGAGCCCTAAAAAACAATTTACAAAGTACAGAAGCCACAAGCCAAAATGCTGTCTTAAAGAATATCTCACTTCATCCCATTGACTGTGTGACTTCAAACTTATTATCTTGCCTTCTACCAATAACAAATGCTAGAAGAGTTGAATTTCATAAATAACACTATACAAAGGAATACATTTTCTCAATAAATAATGCAGATGCTTCTCGTCTATCCAGAATCACTGGTTAACAGTGCCTGCAGCAGGCTGAAATCTTATCGCTTATGAAAAATACTTCAATATAAATAAATACAGGTGATTTGTACAGATTGTCTTTTCAGCAGAAAAAAAAATAAGTGTATTCAGGAACTTGCTCATAACACACTGATAAAAACGCTGATAAAAAATGCTGGATGGCATTTTTTTCAGTTAAAGATAATTTCTCAGAGGTCAAAACAGATTCCAGACTTGACATCTGATGGGAAACCTGTATCTGACCCATTTCTGTTGCGGCTATTGCCAAAATCAGTTTGACAAAGAAGGCAGAGAAAACAGCTGTGTCCAACTCTCCTTCAAGCTTGACTAACCAACTCACCCCCTGAATCCTGCAACAGAAACTGGAAAACAGGCCCTCCACTTGTTTCCCTGTAAACAGCAATCCCTTCATCTGCCCTCTTTTTTGTTTTGTTAATTGGCCCCACTCTTTTTTCTATCGTCCTACTTGTCTGCTTTTTTAAGATGAGACCAGCACTGAGAACCCAATTATACCGTTGTGTTGAAGAAGCTACTTTCCCACAGCTAAACAGTTAAAAAAGTACCAAGGCCTCTTTCATTCCTGTTTTCCACCAGTCACACTTTAGGGAAAGTGCTGTTGAGTCCTGCCGCCTCTGGAGAAGAGTATCCCAGCCACATCAACCGCAGAGGTCCGAAAAAATCCCAATACTGATTAGGTGATCAACAGCTAATATTCTGTTTGAAGGAGTGGGTTTGGCCTTCCTTTTTTAGCCCCCTAGTATTTTTCTGAGGGTTTCAGAGCCTTCAGAAGGCTGCCGACAACTTGGTAACCTTGTGCAGATTTCTTAAAGGCAGGCTGTGGATTGTTAGCAATTTGTGGACCACTGACATTTGGATTGCCAGTGTTGCCATTTGAGTGTCGGGCACGGCTTGCACTAGCAAGTGAGGTGCCGTGGTCGCAGATCTTCAACACACATCGCTCCATGGCCCAGCAGCCTTCAGTTAAAAATGCCACTGCACTTAATGGTTTTTACATGCATCGGGACTTGACTTCACACCATTTGATGCAGTTACAACTCATGATAGCTCTGCAGAGGAGACAAATCTTCAGTATCGAATCAAATGCACAGAATAACTTCCAGTCTTCCAAAACAATAACCTCCCAACTAATAATGTCTTAGATTTATTAGAGAATAATTCCAGTACCTCCTGTACTTTGCCTGTGTTATTGTCATTTTAAATTATTAAATTTAAATTGTTAGATTTCTGAGTGTCTGCGACACTCCTCCTCAAATGACATTAGGAACCTCAGTCAATTATTTAACACAAGAAATACTCAGCAATATTTTTCCTCATAAGAATAAGATAATTATCTTCAGTAATTGCATATGCTCTCCACTATATTTGCACTGAGCTTGCATAATGTATAAAACATTGGTGACGGGTCATTGAATTTTACTATTAAACTCTTCAAGGTCTGATTTATTAGGAATTGTTTGTCACATTTCACTTTTGGAAAAGCCATTATTGCTAAGCAGACAATGATCTCTCACTGCCGAGTGCTGGGGAAAATAAAATGATTTGCAGAATCCATATTCTTCAACCATCACACTTATGCAAAACAGCTGCTGGAGCTGATAAAGGATCCAAAAAGGATAAAGTGTGAGCAGTGCCAACACCACAATTCTTCAAGAAAGCATTAAGCCCAAGCAAGATGAAATGTGCAGAATAGAAACTGGCTATTTTACAACTGAACCTGAAGTTGAGCTCAACATATTTAACCTTTATTGAACCATAAGTTGTAACAACAAATAACGGTGGAAAGATAAAAATCCGTGATGCATACACTTGTATGAGTCATCTTTGGCTCTTATCCTGAAAAAGTGTATCTGTGTTTAAATTAGAGCGCTATAAGTAGTCCCACTGAGGTCAATGGAAGTCCTGATAGTACTTAAACTCACACACACATTTATAAGGCACTGCAAAATTGAGGCCCAAGAGGTTGCAAGTTCTATGGCTTTACATTCACTGCTCTTAACATCATTGCGTATCTGGAGAAAAGCGAAGCAATAAACCGAGACACACCTGACAGACCACAGACAGCTCTGACCGACTGCCACTCCTGGCACATGACGTGGAAATGTTCTTTGGCATTTCCAACAAGCTAGCTGATAATAACGCAGGCTAAACAGATCTAAACGGATTGCTTTTGCATAGAGTGCACCTTGCTGCTCACAGTGTAATGTCTTGCAGAAATAAGGCGGCTGTGACCATCCCGCGATGCACCTCTGACCCTTTTTCAAATCAGAGAGCCGCGTGTGGCCGAGCCCTGAAGACATTAATTCCCGGGAAGTCGATGAAAATAGATGGTGTGGTGTTGACAAGAGATGTGCTCCCAGCGCGGGAGAGGCCGCGGGGAGGGTTCACCCTCTGCCAGCACCAGCGAAGGCTCCGTGGGGGGAGCGGCTGCACCCCCAGCCCCAAAACCAACGGCGGGAGCAAATCTCCAGGAGCCCAGCGCCCACCTCACCCACCAGCGGCCCCATGGGACATGCTGTCCTGCCGTGTACGTGGTGCTGCGGCTGCCTGGCACGTCACGGGCTAACTCACAGGACCAGCAGCAGGCAAAAACACGCTTTTTTTTTTTACCTCTATTGGCTAAAAACGCTCAGGGACAAAACTCCCCAGAATGGGAACACCGTCCCCAGCAGCTTCGCTTGTGAAAAAACCCCGCTCAGGCCGCGCTGCTCGAGGCTGTGGGAAACACCACGTACATCCACCCCCCACCCCGGCAGCCTAGGCTTCATGGGCATGACGTCACGCGGGCATGACGTCACGCCAGAAGACCTTCGCCCTCCCCCCCGGGCAGCACTTCCATGCCAAAACAGCGAGGTAAGCCACAGGTCCCCGACACCTCCCGCAGCAGCGAGGAGGGCGCGGAGGGCCTGCGCGCCGCTGCGCCGTTTCCCCCGACTCTGACGTCACCAGGTAAAACCTGACGTCACCGTAACGCCGTGAGGTTAGGGGTACGCCGCTCTCACCGGGAGGAGAGTGGCCGGGCTCGGCTC